GCCCTTGCTGACCCGGAGTCTGACTCCCTTCGTGCTGCTAGTCCTATTGTCACGCGTCTCCTAGCCACTGTTGTCACTGATCCTTCCTTTGAGTCTGCTGCTGCGTCGGCTCTTGTTGCTGAGCTTGTCGACTTTGCTGCTCGCTTTCGTCTAGACTACGCTGCTAGTCTTGTTGTTGAGTCTGAGTCTGTCTGTCCTCCGTCCGTCGAGGGTGAGAGTGCTCTTGGCATGGACGTCCTTGAGGACAGGCAGGAGGGGTTCCAGTGTCTGGCTGCTACTTCACCTCATCTCGTGTCCATGCTGCTTGCCCCTGAGGGAGACCCGGATGCACTAGACATCCCGACTCCGCGCTCTTACGCAGAGGCGGTTGAGGGTCCCTACTCCTCTCAGTGGCAGGCAGCCATGGACGCAGAGATGGCTTCCTGGAAGTCCACAGGCACCTACGTCGACGAGGTTCCCCCACCTGGGGCGAACATTGTCGATGGCATGTGGATCTTCAGGGTGAAGCGGCCGCTGGGTTCTCCGCCTGTCTTCAAGGCTCGTTACATGGCTCGTGGCTTCAGTCAGCGACAGGCAGTTGACTACTTTCAGACCTTCTCTCCGACTCCGAAGATGACCACTCTTCGGGTACTACTGCACGTCGCTGCTCAGCGTGACTACGAGCTTCACTCTCTTGACTTCAGCACAGCCTTCCTTCAGGGCAGCCTGCACGAGGAGATCTGGCTGCTCCACCCACCTGGCTTCACTGGGTCGTTTCCTCCTGGTACCCAGTGGAGCCTCCGGCGGCCAGTCTACGGTCTCCGCCAGGCACCCCGTGAGTGGCACGACACATTGAGGACTACACTGGCGGCACTTGGGTTTGCTCCTTCTACTGCTGACCCGTCGCTGTTTCTACGCACCGACACTTCGCTGCCGCCGTTCTACATCCTCGTGTACGTCGACGACTTGGTTTTTGCCACTGCTGACACTGAGGCACTGACTGTAGTGAAGTCAGAGCTGCAGAAGAGACCCACGTGCACAGACCTGGGTGAGCTGCGCAGCTATCTTGGCTTGCAGATCACTCGGGACAGAGCACGCCGCACCATCACCCTGACTCAGTCACACATGGTGCAGCAGGTCCTTCAGTGCTTCGACTTCCAGTACTCCTCGCCACAGTCCACTCCTCTGCCTACCGGTCTCAGCTCTGCCTTCGGATGAGTCCGTAGAGCCGAGTGGCCCGTATCCAGAGCTTGTGGGCTGCCTCATGTACCTGATGACCTGCACTCGTCCTGACCTTGCTTACCCTCTCAGCATCCTGGCACGCTACGTTGCGCCCGGGAGACACCGTCCAGAGCACTGGAAGTCAGCTAAGAGGGTGATGCGCTACTTGTGCAGTACGTCGGGCATGGGGCTTGTGCTTGGGGGACGGGGTCCAGTTGTTCTCTCTGGTCACGCAGACGCCTCTTGGGTTGACGACTTGGCTACGCAGCGGTCGTCACAGGGTTACACCTTCAGCCTTGGCTCCGGTTCTGTCTCTTGGCGGTCTACTCGCTCGTCTTCTGTTCTCAGCTCCAGTTGTGAGGCTGAGATCTACGCCACAGCCATGGCTGCACAGGAGCTGCGTTGGCTCACCTATTTGCTGACCGACCTGGGCGAGGCGCCTCGTTCTCCTCCAGTTCTATACGTCGACAACAAGGCCGCCATCGCCTTATGTCAGGAGCACAGACTAGAGCACAAAACGAAGCACATCGCTCTACGTTACTTCCTGGCTCGAGAGTTGCAGCAGCGGGGTCAGCTTCGTCTTGCTCATGTGGCCACTCGGGCCAACACTGCTGATATATTCACCAAGGCTCTTCCGTCTGGTGATCATCAGCGCTTTTGTGCTTTGTTGGGACCTGTGCCTACGTTTCCTCACTTGCTGTAGGCTCTGCCTGTACTGTGACATATATATATATATATATATACATATATATACCTGCTAGTTTGCTCCTTGTAGGTAGAGATCACTGTGCTGTTTTTGTTGCATATATATCTCTGCATGTGAACTGGTCTTCTGGCCCTTTGCTTGTGCTCTGTGTGTGGTGACGTTGTGATCCACCCTGAGCTTGCTTTGCTTTTCTTGACTGGTCTTGTGACCTCTTGCTCTCCCCCACTTTGCCTATGGGGGTGTGTCAAAGATATGCATATATATTATATATGTTGGTAGGCTGTCGTGGAGTAGACTTTGTGGGGTATAACCCCTTAGGGTATATCACCTTGTACCTTTTCACTCGACATTCAATCTTCCTCATGCCTAGTTTCTAAGACTGCGCACCACGCATCCCACGTGCTGTATTGGGCTGTCTCGCAGAATGAACTCCAGGTGACGGCTGGGCCCGTGGGCCCTTCTTCTTGCGACGGTGGCTCGTAGGCGTGTGGGGACGTCACGATGACTCGCCACTAGTCCATGGCGGGGCCCCTCAGCAGCGAAACAGCGTAGCGAATCTTCGCTGCATCCGACTCGACGTAGTTTGCGTCGAAAAAAACGTTCATCGTGAAGACCCACAACTGAACCGTCGGACCTCCACGTTGGCTCGGGTCGAAATAGGGCGGACGCTGCGGCTTGAGTGGCATTGGTGCTATGACCGCGTAATCGCCACTTGTCGCTGCGAATTCCATGTGTCGACGGGTTTCTCGGGGCTCCCGTGGGCCTGTTTCTCTCCATGCCAGGCATTGAGTGAGCGGCGCCCTCACTGGCTACACATGAGCGCTGTCCCACGCTGTCATTCTGTGTCGGTGTGCCTGACGAGATGATGATCGGCTCCTCAGATTGTGCAGGTGCATTGGTTGGTGTTGGTGCATTCACTGTTGATTGCTGGCGAGCGGAGTCATGTTCCGCCGTGAGTGTGGCGATTTCAAGGGCCGAATCTTCGAGTTGGCGTACGAGACGGTCGAGCTACGCTTGCGTCAGTGTCGCAAGAGTGATTTCAGCCATGGCAGGGGTGTCGGGCAAGCTCAGCGAGAGCCTCTGTCGTGGCCGTGCGTGCTTACGAGAGAGCACTACGAGCGGCGGTGCTTGGTCGCTGAGAGACGTCTACCCCCCCCCCCCCACCTAAAAATTGAGATAGTGGGGAAAACGGAGGTGTGGGTGCGGTCCGAGAGAAGATCGTAGGCTCTGATAACCAAGTGTTACGAGTGCAATTGAGTGAGCGAACGAGGATTGCACTATCGAGACAAGATACAAATGAGCGAAGGATTGAGCGAAGAATATATAGTGAAGCTACAGTGGTAACAGTAATGTGTGAAAAATGGGGTGCACGACGGGCCTGGTGCCGAGGTTGGGGAATGTCGAGGCGGAGGTCCAGAGCGCGGGTTACCAGCTGAACCGTGAGGTTGGGTCGCATCGTAAACAGTGGCGGGAATGGGGTCGAGGCGAATGTCGTGAGTGGTAATGGATTATTGTGGGGTGCTGTTGGCGGGAACAGTGGTGTACGCACTGAGCAGGGACGCGAAGTAAGGAAAAGGAATTTTCCTTACAGCCCTGTTCTGTTGCCCCAATCAACCTTCCTAAACTTGAAATCATGGTTATCCACTATAAAAAATGTACAATTTCGTTTTAGCAATCATCGGCAGATTCTTGAAGTGGGAAACGCGAAAACGCGGATGCGGTGTTTCCGAATTTCAGCCGCTCTCGATCCTTTTCCACCCTGGTCGACAACAAACCGCAAGTTCTAGCAACGAGAATTTAGCACAATCGCTTTGACGCAACAAATATCACCATCACCCCGTCAACTTCGAGGTGATGATTTCGAGGTCAAATCAGATTCAGCTTACCTGATGGCGACAGGCGCGAAAGCTGCGTGTCGCTCGGTCTTGAACGGGCCTTTGTTGAGACAGACTGACGGGCATGAGCGAGAAGCGAGAAGCGACAAACAAACGACCAGCGGCAGCTTGTTTAATCCCGAGCGGACGTCGACAGGTCGTGAACGTATTCGCAACTTGCTCACCCTCGCGAGGTGACAAGCTCGATAATGTCGAGGAGACTCAGACGGAAAGTAGGCGCCGCTGGTCGTAGCGAGAAGTCCGATGTCGCACGGCTTGTTCGAGGCTCAGCTGCTTGCATTGCGTCGGCTGCGTCGACCATGACGTGTCGTCGCTGTGCCTAAAACGCCTTCAGAGGGATGTGAAACGCAATCTACACTATGACGTCCTCGCATGTGACGTTCAGTAATCGCAAAGTAAAGCTTTGTGCCGTTCTGGAAACGTAAGCCACCGAACTGTCACGGCGTAGTTATCTTTATGTATCCCCTAGCGCCGACAATGACGTAAACTATAGACCCGTCTGCACCCATCGTGTGACTGCACGCATCGATCACGCGCCGCCATTTAAACCGGATCGCATGTCAACATCGCAGATGGCTAACCTTCCCTCAAGCTTCCAGCTGCAGCTGGACAATTGCAAGCCGTTTCTAGAATGGCTTTCTGCTGTTTTTAGGACAATTCAATCTATTCTTACGGGGGGAGAAAGTATCCTGCCTTATTGCCTGACGCATCCAGAAAACATTTGGGGCCGGATTAGAGATCTTAACGAAATCAGTTAGCAGATACAAAGTGGTCAGACTGATCTTCCTGAGAGACCATCGCCTAGCGTGAAGGAGTCGACATGCCTCTCCTTTGGCAGCTCGTCCTGGCAGGCTTCATACTCGCTTTAGCGTATCTCACATGGCGATATAAGTACTTCCTGAGAGGCAACAGCAAGTTCGGGCCTCCTCACTGGCCTGTGCTTGGGGCGATCCCCGCTCTCTTCTCCAACTTTCCATACCTCCTGGATTGGTCCACGTCACTGCTCGAGGTAAGCAGCTCTAATAGCTTGAGGAACGCCTACACTGGAGTAGAATCCCTAATGGCTCATGCTGTCTTCTCGTGATTAATTACTTACCATTACTTTCTCGAAACCATACTCATCATCAGGCATTGTGGAACGGTTATCTCATATAATGGCATCATGCTCTCCTCCCTCCGCGGTGCAGGAATGCCCATCCATGACGTACGTCTCTCTGGGTCCCGGCATGAACGAGGTGATCACAGCGAATCCCGAGGTGCTGGAGCATATCCTTAAGAACAAGTTCAGCAACTACCCCAAGGGACCCGACTTCCAGGTCAGTTCCACGTGGCACTTGGAGCTACTTAGCCTGTTCTGTTAGATAGAAACAAATCAGCGAATCCCGAGGTGCTGGAGCACATTCTCAAGAACAAGTTCAACAATTACCCCATATTCGACAGCGACGGAGAGGCGTGGAAGCATCAGAGGAAGACGGCCAGTCTTTAGTTCCAAGTCTCGTGCACAAACACTATCTCCGCACAAACACTATCTCCTCACAAACACTATCTCCTCTCCGCTCTCTCTCTCCCTCACTCCTACAGTCTTCATTCAGCGATTTACTGGGCCACGGCATATTCAACAGTGATGGAGAGGCGTGGAAGCAGCAGAGGAAGACGGCCAGCCTGGAGTTTCCAGTATAGCTCACAACTACTGTTTTGTAACAAATATCACCTCCTCTCTCCCTCACTCACTCCTGCAGTCTTCATTCGGCGACCTGCTAGGTCACGGCATATTCAACAGCGATGGAGAGGCGTGGAAGCAGCAGAGGAAGACGGCCAGCCTGGAGTTCTCCGCGCGCTCCCTCCGCGACCTCATGATGGTCTCTATCCAGGACGAGGTGCAGCTGCGCCTTCTCCCGACTCTGCAAACAGTGAGTCTTGTACATGTTCGGGTAATGGTGTTCATTGTGGTATGTGTGTGCGGCTCTTGGAGTCGATCCCTCCACGACCTCATGATGGTCTCCATTCAGGACGAGGTGCAGCTGTGCCTGCTGCCCACCCTGCAAACGGTGACTGTCTAACAGGATAGGAGTCTGTGCTGCTCACCCGTTGTGTGTGTGTGCGTCTCATCTCATCTGTCAACCCCTCGCGACCTCATGATGATGTCCCATTCAGGTCGAGGTGCACCTGCGCTGGCTGCCCACATCCAGGAATCTCTGCTGTGCTACACCTTTTACCGCACTTTCCCCCCTTCCCCTCCCCCCCACCTTCCTCCCCATCAGGCCCTGGAATCAGTCTCGTCGATTGACATTCAGGACATTCTTCTGCGCTACACCTTTGACAGCCTCTGTCGCGCAACTGCTCCAGCCCTCCCCTCTTCTACCCACCCCGCCCTCCAAATCAGGCCTTGACAACATCTGCTTCACAGCAGCCTAACTCTTGATCCCCTCCCCTCTTCCCTTCTCCCCACCCTCCACATCAGGCCGTGGAGTCAGGCTCATCGATCGACATTCAGGACATTCTCCTGCGCTACACTTTTGACAACATCTGTCGCATCGGCTTCGGGGTGGACCCTGGCTGCCTTGCAGCAGGGCTCCCTGACATCCCCTTCGCCCGGGCATTTGATGATGCCACCAAGGTGCGTCCTATGGCTTTTGCCTGGCCCATAAATGGGGTTTCCCACAAATTGTGAGACATGTTTAAGACTAAGCCACAAAGCTGGCTTCGGGTGGACCCTGGCTGCCTCGCAGCAGGCCTCCCGGACATCCTCTTCGCGCGGGCCTTCGACGATGCCACCAAGGTGAGTCCGTTTCACATCATTCGTTCACAGATTTTCCTTCATCTTGGTTGTGAAACGGACTCACCTCAGTTTCATATTTTCAAGTACGAGCTGCATTTGTTTTCTTCATTTTGTTTTTTCTTGCGGATATGCTTTTGTTTTTTCCTTCTCTGGTTGGTGATCTAGGTTTGTACCCCAGCTTACAAATTTGTCTTTGTCTTCAGGTGCTTTCGACTTTCAATAATTTCCTCTATCCCTCGTTTTCCCTGGCCGTGCTGATTCCTGCCTGCCCCCTGCCTGCTCCCCGACTGCTTGCCCCGCATGACAGGCCTCGCAGATTCACAACATTCTCCCCGACTCCATTTGCAGCTTCGGATGTTTCAACCACCGCCTCCCCGCCACCCCCATCCCCATCCTCCCCCCTTGCTCATTCCTCTACCCCGCATGACAGGCCACGCAGATTCGTAACATTCTCCCCGACGCCATCCGCTCTCTCTTCATGTCGTGGGGTATCGCTCACGAGAAGATCCTCAAAGCATCCGTGCGGGTCAGTGCTCAGACACACGTGATTGTGCGGGTCAGTGCTCAGACACACGTGATTGTGCGGGTCAGTGCTCAGACACACGTGATTGTGCGGGTCAGTGCTCAGACACACGTGATTGTGCGGGTCAGTGCTCAGACACACGTGATTGTGCGGGTCAGTGCTCAGACACACGTGATTGTGCGGGTCAGTGCTCAGACACACGTGATTGTGCGGTTCAGTGCTCAGACACACGTGATTGTGCGGGTCAGTGCTCAGACACACGTGATTGTGCGGGTCAGTGCTCAGACACACCTCCCAAAGTCGAACCAATCTGTGCAATTTCCACAACAGAATCGAGGTCTTCAGATTGTGTTTGTTTCGTACTCATGTGTTTCCAGCGATCATCAGCAGTGCAGTTAGGAGACATATAAATGCTGAGAGTAAAGGTTCTGCAGCTGCTTTAGCTTTTCCTTTGCGTTGCCTTCCCACTCCCTTGTTCCCCTCACATTGCTTCTATCCAGGAAATCGACGAGTTCGCGCACAAAGTGATTGAGACGCGCAAGGAGCAGCTGGAGAGGCTGAGGAAGGGAGGAGCAGATGCCGAGGAGGAGGGCAGGGATGACGTCTCTCTGGGCCACTCCGACATTCTCTCCAGGTACGATGTTTCTCCCTGTCGCCTTCCTTTCCTCCTCCCTCCCTCCCTCCCTCCCCCCTCCTTCCTTTTCTCCCCCCTTGCCTCCCTCCAGCCCTTGCCCTGTCATCAAACCCCACCTCCCGTTACGCCAATCAATCCCCTTTGATCCCTCTCTCCCCCCCTCCCTCCCTCCCTCCACCCCTTCTACGTTTACTGAGGATGCTGTTTATAGTTGTGAGTCAACTCGAGATATTCTGAACCAGCTCATTTTCCGTCTTTCCTCTCGCCCTCCCTCCTCCTGTCCAAGGTTCTTTGGATTTGCTTCATTTTTTCCTCATAAGCTTGCCTTTATCTCCTGCTCCCTCTCTCCTTTCCTCCCCCTCCTCCCGCTCCCTCTCCATTTTTTCCTCATAAGCTTGCCTTTATCTCCTGCTCCCTCTCTCCTTTCCTCCCCCTCCTCCCGCTCCCTCTCCCGCCACCCTCCCATCAGGATGATGATGCTGCAGAAGGATGACGGGGGCCAGCTGTACTCTGAGCGATTCCTGCGCGATGCGTGCACCAACTTCATCCTAGCTGGCAGGGACACGTCATCCGTGCTGCTGACGTGGTTCTTCTGGCTGCTGAGCTGGCACCCGCACGTGGAGAGCAAGATAGTGGAGGAGGCAAGAAGCATCATTGCCGGCCGTGACGCAGGTATGGCGGAAGGCAGTGAGGGAAAGTGAGAATGAAGGGAGATTGAAAGGGTGATTGCACTGTTTCCTCCCTATCCCCCCCCTTTCCACCTCCCTGTTCTCGCCTACCTTTTCCCGCCTCATTCTCCCACCTCTTTTTCCCCGCATCGCGTTTCCTCACGTGCAGGCGATGAGAGGGAGACGTTCACATATGACGAGCTGCGCAGCATGACCTACACACACGCCGCCCTCAACGAGGCTCTGCGCCTCTACCCTTCTGTGCCCGCTGACACAAAGTGAGTGCAGCAAGCAAGGTTCTTTGCACTCAATTTATACTGTTGTTTTCCTAGTCGGTGTCTGGAGAATTTTAAGGTGCCTAGAAATTCACCTCTTTTGAGGAGCGCAAAAAATCACCTCGTTTTGAGGCGCCTATAAAATTACCTCTTCTGACGCGCTTCAAAAAAATAATTTGTAGCTTTTCTAGTTGGTGTCCGGAGAAAATTGCAAGAGCAGCATGAGCAGCAGCACGCATCCCTGTGCCGCCCTCAGAGATACTGTGTACCTCTATCCAACCCTCCTGCCCATCCTTCCAGGCATGTAAGCGAGGACAGCGTCTTACCAGACGGCACGCCAGTGAAGAAGGGTTGGAGGGTGATGTACGCGCTCTATGCCATGGGCCACATAACACGCATCTGGGGCCCCGACGTCCGTGAGTATCGCCCCGAGCGGTGGATCGATTTCTTCACTTCCGTCTCCCTCCTCCTGTCACTCCTCCCTTCCCACCCCACCAGGCACGTGAGTGAGGACGACGTGTTACCTGACGGAACACCAGTGAAGAAGGGCTGGAGGGTCATGTACGCGCTCTATGCCATGGGCCGCATGACGCGCATCTGGGGGCCTGATGCCCGCGAGTACCGCCCCGAGCGCTGGATCGACTCAGCAGGGCAGCTGAGGAGCGAGTCGCCCTTCAAGTTCCCTGCCTTCAATGCCGGGCCACGGCTCTGCCTCGGGAGAGACCTAGCGTACCTACAGGTCAGTCCCCATATGTGTGTGTGTGGTGCATGCTGTTGGGTGAGTGCGATGCATGGTGAGTGCTTCTCAAAGTGCTGGATTGATGCTGCAGGGCAGCTGAGGAGCGAGTCGCCCTTCAAGTTCCCCGCCTTCAATGCCGGCCCACGGCTCTGCCTCGGGAGAGACCTGGCGTACCTACAGGTCAGTTCCCATGTGTGTGCTGCACACTGTTGGTTGAGTGACTTGCATGGTGAGTGCTGCGGAGCGGTGGATCGACAGCGCGGGGCAGCTGATGAGCGAGTCGCTCTCCAAGTTCCCCGCCTTCAATGCCGGGCCAAGGCTCTGGCTTGGACGAGACCTGGCATACCTGCAGGCCAATGCAGCTGGATTGACGGGTGTTGTTGATTCTGGGTGAGGTTGGTGATGGGTATCTTAGGTGTTCTGCTGGTTGGCACGTCTGGTGCTTTAATGAGCTCTCTGCGCAGTATGAGAGTGCTTTAACCTCAGACGGCCTTGAGCTTCCTCTGTGGCTTGGCTATCGCTGCTCTAAGACCTCGCTGTTCCCCTTTTCACTTCTGAAAGCAGATGAAATCCGTGGCAGCGAGTGTGCTGACAAAATATCGTCTGAAGCCAGTTCCAGGGCACAAGATAGAGTACAGTGTGTCTCTCACTCTGTTTATGAGGAATGGTCTGTTGGTTAACGTGCAGCCTAGATCGCAAATAGGGTTGGTTTGTTGAACTCCTAGTAGTATCGTCATTAGCCTCTTCCTCCAAAGAAATTCGCGTTCCATTTTTTTTTTCCTGTCTGTATTTTGAATGCTTCTGGTTCCATCTCATCATGCTGATCAAGAAGGCAAACGAGTAGAGCCTCTTCTAAATGGGTGTTGGATCGACTCACGGGTAAAGAAAAAGTCGATGAAATGAATGCAGTTCGCGCGAACCTGTCACTAGCGAGAATAATGAAACCTGCTTGCTTGCACATATCGTACGACTCAAATATCTTGCAAGTCTCGCACGCATTCCACGTCTAGCACATATCACAAGCAGATCTTGTCTGCTCGCCTACGCGAGTCATGCACCACAGCCGTCGGAAAAACAGCCGATCGGCTCCATTGGCCTGCGAACCTACACGTACCACAAATACATTCTATTGGCTTGCTCATCCAGAAAATATCCTAACCTTCGTGTCTGCTGGCAGGCTGGTTCCACACTTTCCTTACCTCCTTCCTAACGCATGGAACATGATAGGGTCCTCTTGACTTGACAGGCCTCCAGTACGAGCTTCGAGTGGTAAGACAACGTTTTAGTGTGCTGGAGTCTACTGCTAGTGTGGTACAGTACGGCGGCGGCTCGGATGGGGACAGTTTGATGTTCCATCCTGCTTCTTGTACAGTCACCTTCTCATAGCCTTTAGACATTCCTTCGTTATTGCTCTCACTGAGGGTGTTGGCTGTCCATTATCCATTGTCGTCACCAGTTCAGTCCCCCCCATTTTACATTTAGATATCGACCGCAGAAGCACGCGAGAGAAGCTCTCGGAGGGGCTCACTAAGAATAGCGACATTTCTGTGACGTCTGCAGTACATGTGGATTAGTACCTACCAAGTCGAACGTTGTCCATTTCATCATGACGGACGCAGCGCCCGACCTAGCAACCGCGGAGGTTATCAACATGACAGAACCTGCAGCGCAGGGTTGCTGCGTCTGGGGCCCTTGTGAGTGCGACCGGTTCGAATGCATGGGTTCTGTGTTCGGCTGCATTATGGAAAGCATATGTAATTGATTGTGTTGTTTTGTGATTCCGCTCCAGTACTGAACTTTTCCGTCCATCTGGGTTGGTTGGTTCTCCCAAAAGCTCGGCCATGGCGGCAAGCGACAGACACGAAATAATGGAGTTCAATGAATAGCCAAAATCGAAGGAGAACTAGAGCAAATGACGGCCTTATAATTAGCAAAGCAAAATGAGACTAACTATATTGTTGTTATTGGAACTATATTTGTATTGTACTGTGTTTAGTCTCCTCAGTTCATGCCTTCAACAATATAGTTGCACCTTATGTAATGCATGTAGGTGTACGCCATTTAATTAGCCGATGGGCTACATGGACATCATAGTTGAAATGTTTACATTCAAGAGTGATGTTTGATTGCTTTCGAGTATACTTCGTTTCTGCCGCACTTAGTCCTGTATTGAGGTCCTCTTGCACGGATGCACAGAAATCCTGTGAGCCTTTCGGCCAGTTGTTCAGGTTTGGTGTTTTGTCCCTCCCGAACCTCAAAAGAACGTCCGAACGAAGCTCTGTGAAAGCTTGTTTTGATGGTTTTTGTTGCGGAACTGGTAGCAAGAAGGACGGATGGTTTCGTTTTTAGCTAAAAAGCACACGACTGGTGGTGGTGGCAGTGATCAACTCCTTGACAAGGTTCGAGTCGCTCCTTGAGTGTATGCTAGATATCCAATTTCGTGGCTAGCATCAAATCTCTGTTGGATGTGGTCGGGATTTTCGGCTAATTGGAGAGGTCATCAGCCACACGGCACCTCCACCGCACGCTGTACACATGATGCTCAACCCCTGCGCGCGAATTTGCACTTGGACATTTTGGAAACCTTGCACCCGTGTTTTTTGCGCCAGCCAGTTGCACCCCCTTTACAAGCCCCTCGAGCAAGTTGCAGGGATTTGAACCAATAATAACCACAGAAACCGAAGGTTGACTGAAGAGACCGAAGTCAAGCTGTCAGCGGTGAGTTACATTTTTTCTTATAAGCCCTTTTTCCTAGGTGCGAATTGACGAAACCTTTGCGAAATGCAAAATGACTTATACGCCCAGAAAGTAAGGCAAGGTCCGGGGGCTCAACCGGGCATCGTGTGTACTGTACCACAGACGCTGGGACCAGAGTCAGTACCACACATACCACTAGGGCACGGCACGGCAATCACACGCGGTTCATTCTTTTAGTGACTAATCCGCGAGGTTCATGAAGCTAGGCACACACTGAATAGCACGCCGTAGATCATGCGTGATTCTCTCCATTGTGTAAAACAGTACAGTACAGTACGGAATCGCAGAAAACATCACACGTTGGATCACCACCGCTTGATGCACTGCCTTCCACAGTTGGCGCGAATCTCATTTCATTCAGCCAACAGCTGAGCGGATCGTCTTTGATGCTCTAATTTCGTCCATCGACTTTGGCTCTTGTAGTGTGGCTTGCCAGTAGCAGCACCAGTTTCCGGACCATCCAGGCTGACCAGTAGCAAGTACCGCGCAGACGCGAGCGACGGACCCTAACTAGCTGGCACCACGCGTGTGACGCGCTGTGCGGCGAACTCGCCAGCCTGGTTTTCGCAAGTGTGCACATTGCACCCGCGCGCGTACGATCGCCACATTTGGGAATAATCGGAAGTGTTTCGGAAGTTTCACATCACCATCATGGCCGACGCAGCCCAACCAGCACCAGCGCCTCCCGCGGAGGCGCAGAACGCGGAAGAGAAGAAGCAGAAAGGTTGCGGGTGTGATTTTTGGTGCGTGTTTGGTATTGTTGGTAAGATCATCAATGACGTATTCAAGAGTAAGTAGCGTTATCGCCCCGTGCGTTTAATAGGCGTCATTCGTAAACAAAAAATCACTACTCGGAACATCGGCTTGTGGATGCATGGTTGAGTGACATAGTAGTATGTAGCCTGATCGCTGTGACGTAATGTAATCCCCGATTTATAAGCATGCTGTTCCTTACTTTACCAGAAGGCTCGCGCGGAAAGTAGCACGGCAGATATCATGCATCTGCCGGTCCACTCGGGCTGGGTCGGTGGTTCATACGATGGAGGCGGGAAGTATGACGATTGCTGGGTCTGGTAAAGCATCTCCGTGGCATGAACTCCATGGAAGTAGGCTAATTGATTAAAAAAAATAAAATTAAAATAAAATAAATGGTTCCGACTCCGAATGAACAGCTGCGAACAGGCTGAAGAGTTTGTTTGGGGCTGAAGAGTTTGTTTGGGACGAAATGGTGCATATGCACAGACGAATGTTTTTTTTTCCGGATATGGTCCCTTCATACCGTATTCTCCCGGATATAAGACCCGGGGGACTTTCCTAAAATAGAGGCAAATTGACTAGGGTGTACATTTAATCGGCACGAGTTGTAATTGTCCCGGGTACACTTAATAATCAAGTACATTTATGCGATTTAGGGGTGTACACTTGATTTGAAGGGGGGGGGGGGGGGGTCTTATGTTCGAACCAAAAAAAATTCGCGTGCGCGAAATTCGCGCAAGCGGCGCGTCAGAAGCGTCAGATCTCGTATCTGACACGATTGGTGTGTCAGAACCCGATTCTGACACAAATGACGCGTCAGATTTTGGATTATGTACCTCTAAAAGCTGACGCGCATATTCTATTTTAACTACTGTATACAGAAAAGGGGGGACTTATATTGTTTTATAGCAAAAGGGGGGTCCTCTCACATATGCTGCATATTAAGAGTCCCAGTACCGTTCAAAAGTCCCGGGGGTCTTTTTTTCGGGAGGGTCCTATATCCGGGAGAATACGGTAGTAGTATTCGCGTATGTATGTGGGAGCAGACCGCGGCCTAGCGCGCGATCACCAGGCAGTGCCTAACGCGCGTATGGCAGCGTATTTGATCCGAAACTCTTATGGTCACCAGACCCAAGGGCCTTGGTGAAGACATCAGCAGTGTTGGTCCGAGAGGCCATGTAGGAAAGGCGGAGCTGATCATGCTGCTGCAGCTCTCGAACAAGGAAGTAGCGAAGAGTTATGTGCTTCGTTCTGTGCTCTAGTTTTTGCTCCTGACACAAGGCAAGCATGGCATTGTTGTCGACATACAGAACTGGAGGAGAACGAGGCCGCTCTCCCAAGTCGGTCAGCAGGTAGCAGGACCCTAGGTATCATACTTTTTAGTCTGATTCAGAATCCGTTCATGTTTTTTTTGTACCTAGTCTGAACTCAAAGTTTTTCTATATATACCTTCTCTGATTTTTTCAGAGTTTTTTTTTTTTTTTTTTTTTTTTTTAATGTATTGGCTGAAATTTCAGACGAATTTTATGAGTGTAGGCTGAGCCCCATCCTTGTATCGGGGGTGCACTCTGAAACGGGTAATGCAGG